ATAGTTTTGGTTCTGTGCTCAATGCTCAATGGAATCACCTAAATTTTAGTAATTGATACTAAAGAGACACCCATGTGCATTTAGGAAAGGCCAAGTTTTCATTTCTTGACAGGTCTCATCAGTTATCTGCTTTCCAGCGTGATTATTTCTTTTCCCATATTCAATTATTAATTTATTCAACCAGTGTTTAAAGAGCCTTAATCACTTATAAGTTTCATGTGCCTGTAAATAAGATAAGACAGCACTTACCCACTTACCCTTAAGTTATAGCAGCCCTGTCGCAGAAACATTCTTCTACAGCTATTTACAATAGAGGGGAGAGATGGATGCTAACTGAAAGTTCAAAGAACAATTAAATCTCAGGAGGAATGACTTCTAAATAACAGGAAAGAACCAAAAATCTGGAGCCTACGATGCTGAAAAGCAAGGGACTGGCAGGGTATCAAGATCAAACCATGAAGGTCCTTGGGTACAAGATTTGGGGACTTTGATTTAATCCTGTATGTGTTGGAAAGTTACTGATGGATTTCAAGGAGGAAACTGATAGACTCGTACTTTAGAAAAGACAGTTTTTGGCAGCAGTGGATGATGAGACAGAAGAGAGAGGCTACTTATTATCAAATGCCAGGCTAGAGACAGCAGACAACAGACCAGAGATTCTGACAACAGGGAGGCAGGATTCAAGCTTGCCACTGAGCAGCCAGGAAAGTACACTTGGCAAGGTGGACCACGGACTCTGAAATGGAGTCGTGTCACATACTTCTCACAAATGCTGACCAAATCCAAAGACTACAGAGGAGGTTAGTGGGAGAGAGGTGGGAGACAGGAGAGGATTGAGGAAATAGCTGTAAAAAACCTGACTTGCCCATTCTTCATGGAGCCACACCTGCTCACTTCTCCCAGGCCTTCAAGAGTATCCATCTCTATCACTGATTACAATCCCTGCAGAAATGAACTTTATCTACAGTCTTCCCTGGCTGTTCTGGCTCACCCTATCATGGTACTTCCAGGAAGTACCTAGAGCCCAGTGACAAGAGATGGGACTCACTTTACAAAAGCACACTTTCTTTCTGGCCAGGGTGAGTGCTCATGGTAAGAAAAAGCAAAGGAAGGAATCGAAGGATTTCCATGGGAATTCCTGAAACCATGGACAACTAAAGCCTGAGGACAACTGGGGATGGAGTTCGAAGGCCTGGCTCCAGCTCTGAGAATAGGCATGAGGCCAGGAGCTATACTGGTAGGCAAGGAGGACTTAAAGCCATTAATCCTGCTGAGGACACTGAAATGGCCCAAAGCTAGGGCTGGGAAGAAAGGGTGTAACTTTGAAAGGTCTATATTCCTAATCCTTAAGAAATGTTAGCTTCTTTTTGAGCTGATTACAGTCCCTGCATAAAGTTCTATCACAGTTTCTTTATAATTATTTGTATACAGGTCAAGTTCTTCTCTTCTTTACTTTTCTCTCTTTTGCTCTGTTGTTTCCTATCTTTGTTCCAAATTTTTCTTCATACTTACATTACCTTTGGGAGTGGATCTCTTGCTAAAGTCATTTCCTCAGTCTTTGGGAGGTGGAGGTAGAGGAGGACAATCTTTGGCTATTATTAATAATGGCCTAGTTTCTAATCATTTCCTCTTAGGCTTGAGTTTGAAAGACCTAAGAGCATATCTTAGCTGGTCTTATTCTAAACTTCAGGGCCAAGAAAAGAATTACCACTCATTGGCGTTTCCCTGGCTATAGCAAAATAATCTTGGCCGTGAAAGAGAGATGATCCTCATTAGATCCGTTTGACACAGAAGGAGGAAACACATTGTTGTAATGAATGGAAGTGAGGAGTTTCTGTGCCACTGCCACATAAGGTCTGGCTTGGGTCGATACACAGTTCCCAGAAGGTTCAGGGGACTTCCAAGGGAAGCCCATTAGCTGGCAAAGCATGCTCTACCTCTTCAGGAAGCACGCTATAAAATCCAAGAGTCACATCTATGGCTGCCCAATTCCTCCTCAAAAACCTACTCCCTGGCAGCCCCGGTGGCTCAGCGGTTTAGCGCCGCCCACAGCCCGGGGCGTGATCCTGGAGACCCGGGATCGGATCTAGTCCCACATCGGGCTCCCTGCATGGAGCCTGCTTCTCACTCTGCCTGTGTCTCTGCCTCCCTCCCTCCCTCCCTCTCTCCCTCTCTCTCTCTCTCTCTCTCTCTCTCTCTCCTCTCTGTGTATTCTCATGAATAAATAAATAAAATCTTAAAAAAAAAACCTACTCCCTAGAATCTCTGCAGCTCTTGATATAGTGAATGGTTCATGACCAGTATGAATGCTATCTGAGTGATAAATAGCAAAGTTACTCACATGTGTATTTTTGGACTTTATGCTTTCACTTCTGGGGATTTAGCTTACATGCATATGTAATGATCATGGTCAGTGCTGAAGTTTGTGAAATGGCAAAAGAGCTGGAAATAAGTCAAAAGCCCATCAATGAAGAAACTATTTAAATAAATTGTGGTACATCCATATAATAAACTCTATGTAGTAGTAAAATGGAATGAGGAAATGCTTTATGTGCTACCATGGAAATCTCACCAAGACATACAGTAAAGTTAAAAAAAGTAAGGTGCGAATAACTTGCTACTTCTGTTATAAAGAGGGGGAAAATTAAGACTACATGTACTTTTGAATTTTCTTGGGTATGCAAAAAGCAACTGAAAAGACACATGAAAAATGAACCCAGTTGCTACCTGGGAGCAAGGTGGGAATGGGCAGATAAGGGACACATATTGGAAATAGACTTTTGCTATACAGTAATGACAAAACACTAGCTAGTAGATTAATCCTAGCTGTGAGTAGAGATGAGGTTACTGAGTCAGCTGCCGTTAAAATTCTTGGGTGTTCTTTCCCTCAGGAAAATACTGTGACCCATCATTAAGGTAGATCATTACCCCTGTTTACAAAGAGCTCTAGAAGTTTTCTGATTTATGAGTAGAGGCTTTACCCACAGACATAACTGCTTATCATAGTATTTCCCCCATCTATTAAAGATTTGCAGTGTGACACACTAGGCTCTGGCTGGTAAGCAAGCACTCCCGTTATGCTCTTCCTGCATGCAGAATTACAGGAAGCCTTCTTTTAAATTCTAAATCTGGATTCAATGTTTATGATGATACTTTTTAAAACAATTTGAGCTGTGTAACTATTACTCATTAAAAACTTTTAAAAATTAGTGATAAGATCTGTCACCAGGAAAATAACAAACCCTAAATCCAGCTCCAATTACTGTCTAGAAATGTATTCTTTGTTAAAGCTGGAAAGAAGAATATTACTAGTATATAGTGATGTGCAAATTAGCACATTGTGGGTGCCTGGCTGGCTCAGCCAGTGATGTATACGATTCTTAATCTCAGGATTGTGAGTTTGTACCCCACATTGCATGTACAGATTACTTAAAAATAAAATCTTTGAAAAAAAATTAGCACGTTGCTTCTATTAATATTTTACACTATGTGAGATAGCTTTCTCCTAATAGTTGTTTATGCTAGGAAGTCACCCAAAACAATCCAGAATTATCTTAACCCTTAAAGAACCCTTAAACTTTTAAAAACAAAAAACAAAAAAACTCCTCAGAATAATATTCTAGCATGGCACCAGAAACCATGGTCTTTTCATACCAAGTAAGCCTTGATTACTAAGGGAGAAATTGAGGGTTGCCATCAGGCTGTATGAGCCTTCGTGTGAATTACTAGGAAGAATTCATTTCTCTAAATATATTTTTAAAGATTTTATTTATTTATTTTAGAGAACACATGCACATGTACACACACAAGTGAGGGAGGGGCAGAGAGAGAGAAACCCAAGCAGCCTCCCCACTGAGCATGAAGCCCAACCCAAGGCTCAATCTCAGAACCTTGAGATAACCTGAGCCAAAATCAAGAATCATCTGCTTAGCCAATTGAGCCACCCAGGCACCCCTCTCTAGGTATTTAACATCTAAAAATTGGAAAATCATTTTAATGTTATTATTCTCTTAGACCAAAATACTTTACTGTCACCTGTGAGAACACTTTTTAATAATAAATATCTTAAAGTTTTCATGAGATGGCATTCCCTAGGATTATAGTATACAGCCTGGCCATCTGTATTGAGCAGCCGATTGGGTTGTGTCAAGCAGTTAACAGGCCATAAGTAGCACTATTGCAGCTCTTAGGTTGGCTTGCCACACTTCCATAGAGTCAGCTGTTAAGGAGACAACAATTCAAGTCAAATAGATTTAGATAGTTTCTTAGCTACACTGATGTAAGGTCAGCATTGGGTCAGTTCCTCATGTCCCTAGTCCCACAGGATGAGACCTGATCAGAGAAGACTAACTGACAAATGCCATGGGCACTTGGCTCTGTCACTGAGGAGACAACCCCAAACTCAAGCCAAAAAATTTTATAGCCTGTGACCATATCCTTCAGGAGATTGAAAGGCTTGTGCTTGCTCGAGATGAAGGAAGGTAATGAGGAATGACCTATGGCAATCTTCCTCAAGATAGGGGAGGTGGGTGAACAATGGCCTTGAGGTAGTTCCTCCCAAGTCAGCTAATCTCTCTTAGTTTCAGAAGGAATCACAGAGCAGTCAACCAAAACTTGTGTCAGACTATGGTTAATCTTTGCCTAAGTGGCCTGTGTGGAGACATGCATGTCACCAAGGCAGAGCTATTCCTCTATGTCAATGAAATATGGCTGGGTTCAGGGATTTTTGGTAGTTGACTGGACAAGAAAGACCACAAGGGAGGAAGTAAGGAGCCTAAAATAAACAGAACTTATTGACACACTAACTGCAAGGGACAGGAATTGATTCAGAGAAGGATTTGTATAGCTGGTTGCCAGAAGTTTCCAGCACTCTATGTTGCTCTTCACTGGGGGCCAGAGGAAAAAAATGGCATTGGCAGGAAAGGGGATGGAAGGCAGACACCAAAATAGAAACATAACACAGCCCTTCTGCTTGTTCCTTAAGGATCTTCCACTTCAGCATGATGATACTGCCAAAAAAAATGAAGCCACTGCTGTTTCTGATTTCCCAGATGGCCATCTTTGCTCTATTCCTCCACCTGTATGGCCACAACTCCAACTCCCCATCCACCACAGAGGAGCCCAAGCCCATGCATGTGCTGGTCCTGTCTTCCTGGCGCTCTGGCTCTTCTTTTGTGGGACAGCTTTTTGGGCAGCATCCAGATGTCTTCTACCTGATGGAGCCTGCCTGGCACATCTGGATGACCTTCACACACAGCACTGCCTGGAGGCTGCAGATGGCAGTGAGGGATCTGATACGTGCCATTTTCCTGTGTGACATGAGTGTCTTTGACGCCTACATGAAACCTGGTCCTCGAAGACAGTCCAGCCTCTTCCAGTGGGAGAACAGCCGGGCCCTGTGTTCCCCACCTGCCTGCAACATCTTCTCCCGGGATATGATCATACCCCGGGCTCACTGTAAGCTTCTGTGCAGTCAACAGCCCTTTGAGGTGGTAGAGAAGGCCTGTCGTTCCTACAGCCATGTGGTGCTCAAGGAGGTACGCTTTTTCAACCTGCAGATGCTCTACCCGCTGCTGAGAGACCCTTCCCTCAATCTGCGTATCGTGCACTTGGTACGTGACCCTCGGGCAGTGTTCCGTTCTCGAGAACACACCACAGAGGAACTCATGATCGACAGCCGCATTGTGTTGGGGCAGCATTGGGAGAAACTCAAGAAGGAGGATCAGCCGTACTATATGATGCAGGTCATCTGCCAAAGCCAGCTGGAGATCTATAAGTCTGTGCAGTCCTTGCCCAAAGCGCTGAGGGAACGCTACATGCTCATACGGTATGAGGACCTGGTCCGGAACCCCATTGCCCGGACTGCACAAATATATGAATATGTGAGATTGAAATTCTTGCCTCATCTCCAGACCTGGGTGTACAACATCACTCGAGGTGAGGGCATGGGTAATCATGCCTTCCACACTAATGCCAGGAATGCTCTCAACGTCTCCCAGGCCTGGCGCTGGACTTTGCCTTACAAAAAGGTTTCTCGACTTCAGAAAGTCTGCAGTGATACCATGACTTTGCTGGGCTACCAGCTTGTTAGATCAGAGCAAGAGCAGAGAAACCTGTCACTGGATCTTCTGTCTACATAGACTACCTCCAAGTAAGTCTACCAAGAGGGTTGAAGAGGCTGTGTGTCCCCACTTGGCACCAGCCTTGGCCACATTAACAAAGGCTTCTTAGTCTTAATTACATCTCTTTTGGTGTACATGTGAGCATGAGTTGTGCCTATATGTGCTTAAGCTGAGAAATCTTCATGTCTCCACTCAGGCCTAGAAGAGATTGAGAAACATACGAGCAGCATGTTCCACCACCTAAAAAGGAGTATTGCCTTTCTTCTCTTCTTGGTCTTCCCATCTGCGTGTACCTCAAAGACTTTGTGGCCTGGGGTCCTAATTGGCACCACACAGTATCAGTGGGATAAATCCATAAACTTCTCTATCCACATCTTGCCCAGTGGGAAAGGAGAGAGACAGGAAATGGGTCTTCTGCCAAAGAGCCCACCAGCACATTCCACAGGGATATGAACTTTGAGCCCATGGAGCTCCTGGTGGATTCACAAAGGGAACAGAGAAAAGAGTTGGATGCTTACGGTGGGCTTGGCCATTACAGTTATCAGTTATCACAAATACAAAATAAGATCTCTGCATAATAGAGCAAGCTCTTAAATTCATGGAGTGGCTAGGCCTGATATGGACATTGTTTCCCCTCAGTGTTTTCCTATCGCATAGAAGATTTTGATTTGTGAAGCTGCTATCCATTAACACTAAAATTCCAAATAGGATTCTGTTTGGGGTTTTCCCTTTTATGCTTTCTAATTACTTAGTAGTAAATGCTAATTCTTATGGGATCCTAACCTGATAGCATAAGCATCTTTAGAGACTTTTTTTGTGTACTTTTACTATTATCTATTACCCACACACAAAAATTTCTAAGACAATATTTGGTGTCAGATGATGAGCTGAGTCTAAACTGATCAATACTGACGATCACATTGTGCTCTTAAGAATCTGTAGAAAGTAGGCAACTAGCAACACGCCCTTTCTTTCTTGTGTGAGGTGTGAGTTGCAGTAACACTCTAGGGTCTGGGCAAAGGGTTCTTCTAATGTGATCCTCAGCCAGAGGACCTCAGGGTTAGTATGGCTAGTGATGTTCAGCTCTTCCTGGGTCACCTCTCCACCTGATAGATGCTGTTTCTACCAATCTTTGCAGTACTCCCCAGGTCTACTTATGCATCAGAATCCACTGTCAGAAATTCATTTTGCCATGCCCAACCTCAGATCTACTGGAATTGGAATCCACCAGGGTGGGGGCTGGGATTCTATACGTTGATCAAGCAACCCTGGTATTTCTTTCAAGACCAGCCTAATAACGCCACACCCTCCATTGGGCAGCAGCACTGTGTGCCTTCCCACTCCAGAACAGATGCCTTTTCAGCACATGCCAAGTATCCATGCTGCTTGCTCCTGACATTGGTCCTGTCGTCAGGTTAGAAGGAATAGGAAGAAGGGGATCCCTGGGTGGCTCAGCAGTTTGGCGCCTGCATTTGGTCCAGGGCACGATCCTGGAGTCCTGGGATCGAGTCCCACATCAGGCTCCCGGCATGGAGCCTGCTTCTCCCTCTGCCTGTGTCTCTGCCCCTCTCTCTCTCTCTCTCTCTCTCTCTCTCTCTCTCTCTCTCGAATAAATAAATAAAATCTTTGATTAAAAAAAAAAGGAATAGGAAGAAGGTCTCTATCGGTCTGGAACTCCAGGGACCTCTGAGTCCTGACTTGCTTAATATTTCACTGTCCAAATCTGAAAGATATCATCATTTCATCTTTCCTTTTGTTCCCACTCTGGACATGGTCCTTACCTCATAAAGTGCTCTCAGTGTCAGATGGGAATTCTCATACTTGATTCTGCCAAGGAGCTCTTGGGCTGTGGCATCACTTAAGATATGTGAGCAGCTACCTTTGCCAGCTGGGTCTAGCAAAGTTAATTTATATGTGAATCTAAATGAGTGGATTTATTCTAACACATAAACCTAAGCCACTCCTCAAGAACCTAGCCAGGATCTCCCAAGCAAATGTTTCTTGCTTCTACAAACCTTCCAAAACTGTGAAAAGTTTCCCCAACACTGAAAATAAGGCCAGGGCAGCAGGTATGGTGCAAACAGTGAAGAAGGCAAGTGAGGGGGAAAGACAGTGAGAGACTCAACCACCTCTGATTTCCCCTCTGAAATTCCAGCCTCCACCTGAATTGTCTTAATGCTAGCAACTTCCTTAGGAACCATTTTTATGAGATGCTGGAGTACAAAGCTGTTTGCTTTTCTATCTCCAAAGGAATCATTATGTGCTCATGAGCGCATGGGCTCTGGAATCCTGCTGCCTGGGTGACTCTACTATTACCAGCTGGGCAATCTCCAGCAAGTCCCTAAACATTTCCATGTCTCTGTTCCCTCAGCTGTAGGGTGGGTTGAATAATGGTGGCACTGACCTCTTGGAGTTGCTGGGAGGGCTGATGAATTAATAAATGGAACATGCTTAGGAATCATCTGGCTCATAAGCAAGCACTCACTAAGTGGTAGCAGTGAATATATTGGTAACAACACTAGTTTTAGCTCTCTCAAGGACCATCTTCCATCATTCTGGTAATATCCTCATTAAGGTGATACTCAACAGCAGATTACAAGCCGTTTGTGGCATGTCTGATCATACTGAAACAATTAGATTTACAGCTGTCTAATATTCCAGTTTATCCACATCCGTTGTTCTCCACCCAAGGTGATTTTGTTCCCTAGGGAACATTGGGCAATGTCTAGAGACATTTTGGTTATCACAACCGGTAGAGTGTTAAATCTCCTATAGTGTACAGGAAAACCCCTATCCCCAACAAAAATTCTCTGATCCAGTATGTCAACAGCACATCTGTTAAGAAGACCTACTCTAGGGACGCCTGGATGGCTCAGCAGTTGAGGGTCTGCCTTTGGCTCAAGGTGTAATTCCAGGGTTCAGGATCGAGTTCTACACCAGGCTCTTTACAGGGAGCCTGCTTCTCCCTCTGCCTATATCTCTGCCTCTCCCTATGTCTCTCATGAGTAAATAAACAAAATCTTAAAAAACAAAAACAAAACCCTATTCTAGGGGTGCCTGGGTAGCTTAGTCGGTTAAGCATCTATCTGCCTTTGGCTCAGATCATGATCTCAGGGTCCTGGGATCAAGCCTCACACTGGGTTCCCTGCTCTGCAGGGAGTCTACTTCTCTTTCTGCTGCTCCCCTTGCTTGTGCTCTCTCTCTTTGTCAAATAAAATCTTAAAAAGAAAGAAAGAGGAAGAAAGAATCCTACTCTACGTTCATCAGATGATGCATATATGCAAGATGAAGAGTCAATGATTAAAACAAATTTCTCTTCTCCTTTTTCTCAGTCTCATACAGTCTTAAACAGTATACTCCCAGGCCAAGCATCCTGATGGGGGAGATGTTGCAACCAACCAGTGATCTGGCACCCACTCAAGTCATGTCAAAGGGAGTAAGTAGTGAAGCAGACATTATCAAAATTCAGAGCAGAGGAAGCAAGCAAAGCCAGGCTTCCTGGGACCAGTCATGCACTGGCCAATCTGTGCCTTAACTGATCTCGGCTTATGTCCACCCTAATTCAGTCCACTGTGGCCAGAAGAGGAGTTTAAAGTGGGCAAAACATGGGATCCCTGGGTGGCTCAGTGGTTTGGCGCCTGCCTTTGGTCCAGGGCGTGATCCTGGAGTCCTGGGATCGAGTCCCACGTCGGGCTCCCAGCATGGAGCCTGCTTCTCCCTCCTCTGTGTCTCTGCCTCCCTCTCCCCCCCCCCCGTCTATCATAAATAAATAAATAAATAAATAAATAAATCTTTAAAAATATAAATAATGTGGGCAAAACATAGTCATTGAGGGTCTTGGGGAAGATGGGCAGGACAAATGAAGCCAGAAGCAGACACTGCACTAGACAAATGAGCTAACATTTCTGGAAACAAAAGAATCACTCATGAATGTCAAAATATTCCACAGACACTACAAGATTTAAACCATGGCTCCCCAATATTTTTTTCTGTTATCACCTCCTTCCCTTAGCAAGCCTATGGTAGATATTTTTGTTCGAATCGTCCTCTATCATGAAATGTTAATACCACAATAAAAACTGCATAAAAATATATGTAGCCCTCCCAAAAGCTACAAATCACAGTAATGCTTTCATTCCCCCCCCCCCACCCCGCCCCAACAAACCACTTTTTACTGTCGGTGGTAACAGCAGCTCCACTGAGAATGTATGATCTTAGCTCCCTCCCTGCTCCTATTTTCCTCATCATGCCTTTTGTCATGCCCCCAAACTATGTTCCTTGCTCTCACCAATAAGACTTGTACCTTGCTCAACTGTAATTAAATGTGATCATGCAAAATAACACATATGAGAGCAACTTGTAAATTATAAAGACCTATGAAAGTGTTGCTTATTATTATTAGAATAATAATAATAATACAAGTAACTCTCATTGCCACCCTCTTAGCCCCTACTCCCACTAGCACTAATCTTAACTATTTGGGATGGCCACTGGCCTTGTTTGCCTTGCCACGTTTTGAGAGGACTTCTTATGATCCTGGAAGAACATTTTGTTTGTGTCTTAAGTGTATGATAAGAAGTGAACAAGTAGAACAGGCACATAGGGCTACTGTCCATAAAGAATGAGGTGTGTTTCAGGAAAAGTAACCTATTGTTCCACCCTAAATCAATATGGATTTAAATGGCTAACGACAGATAATGTAAACATGTTGGATGAAAGGGATAAAGACTCCTGTCCTTTTAGGTAGGGGTGAGGTAAAATCCTGATTACCTGATCAAACAATGAATAAACTAAACGATGAGACTTTAATAGATGTAGTACACACATACATGCACGCACACACACAGCATTCTGGAAACAAGCTTGAAAAAGTTGACAATACTAAATTTAACCAGGTTTTTAAATGCAAGACCCTCAGAACTTTCAAATATGTTTGTGCATATTAAGAATGGGAAAGAGCAGAAAGTGATTCTCCCATATTTCTTTGACCAAGAGGTTTTTTTCTTCAATATACCTAT